CTAGGACAGCAACGCTCTTGGCTGGCAGCGCCCGTGATCGCGATAGCAACAGAGGTCAGGCAATTGTGACAGTGCCAGGTCCACATATCCGCTGCCGTCCACCCAGTGTCTCCTCTATTCATCTCGCGCACCAGCCTGTGGATTGCCTGACCGTTGCGCCCTCGTGCCGTCGTCCGAGCCTTCACGGCTACTGCCTGAGGCTGGCCTAGTTCCCGCACACCTTGCACTTGTGTTTCATCCAGGCGATCCGCTTGGCGTTGCACCTCACTCTCGACTTCTGGCTGTTCAATCGGGCACAGCCTCCTATACCAAGTCACCACCGCTCCTCCGCCGTCCGGCTGTCTCCCTCGCACGCACGTCGACTCTGCGCCTGCTGCCGCATTGAGCGTCCTGCGCTACTCTCACCCTAGAGTTGGAGCTCCTTCCTCCCCCGCCCGTCGTTCCTTCTCCCGCAACCATAAACCGAACCACCGACCCACGCTACCGAGCTCGCCCGCGCCCTGCTCTCCCCATCCATGTCCACTGCCGCTGCGACTCCGAATACCTCCTCCAATGCTCTAAACCCCGCCGCCAATTCCGCCCGGCCACTGAAGATGAGCACTGCCGCCAAAGGCATCGACGCACAGCAGCGAAAGCCCGGAAGCCCCATCGACGGCGGTCAGAAGTAAGCGCCTGCCCTGCACTCCCCATAAACACGTCTCCTACACTCCTACCCCGCGTCCCTTGCATTGCAGACACATAGAGGCATGCCTCGAGTGCTCCCGCCATGCGGGATATTCTCGTGTGACGTGCGGCTGGTCACATGGAGTCACGGTGCGACTGCCCTGTCCACTCGATGGCCCTCTCCCCGTCTACTGTGCTCAATTACCTCATGTCTCAATGCTCTGTCCTCGACAACACCCTACCCACTTGCACCTGGCGCCATGCTGACCGGGCGACTTGCAGGAAACCTCCCGCCAAAACGGCATGGACCCAGGGCACCAATCCCATCACACAGCGACCGACTCACTCCCCCACCCCCAACGGTGCCGTAAGCTCACCTAAGCCCCCACAAGGCTCGACGGCTGCCTCCGCCGACAACGCTTCCCCGATGAGGCACCTCAGCGACCGTATGATGTACCTGCTGGCCAATCTGACGGTAAGTGACAGCTGGCTTTCCATGTGACGCGGGTGAACAGTGCTGATGACACAAACAGGGTCTTCCGGGCATCATTACGCTGAAGAATGGCGAAAAGTACTCCGGTGTCCTGTCAGGCACCTCACTCGACCCCAGCGAGCTCCGCTATGTTTTCAAGATGGTCAAGAAGCTCCTGCCCACCAGCAACGCTCAGACCAACGGCACGAGCCAGTTGTCCGACGACTACGTTGGCTCAGGCGATTACCATGTCATGTCGTTTGACATGAGCGATGTGGCTGATTTCAATGTCAACAACGTCGTCCTTGACAAGTCCCAACTCAAGGGCCAGAATGGTGTGTACCAGATTCTACATCGCCTTTCTATGTTAGGCTAACAAGAAAAAAGGCACTGCCGGCTTCCGCACTGATACCGACATCTCTGGCAAGCTTGAACTCCGTGAGCGCAACCTTCAGAAGTGGGAACCGTCTGAGGTTGACCCCAACATGACGCTCGAGTCTACCGGCCGTTCGAACGACTGGGACCAGTTCTCTGCCAACGAGCGCCTGTTCGGTGTGAAGAGCAACTACGATGAGAACATCTACACCACCACCATCAATAAGAACGACCCACAGTATGCGGAACGGCTCGCACGCGCTGAGAAGATCGCCCGAGAGATTGAAGGTAGCAGCGCAACCAACTCGCACGTCCGCGAAGAGCGCGGAGGATACACTGCGGCCGATGACAATGGCGATGAAGAGGACAAGTACAGTGGAGTACGACGAGACCTGACAAACCTGTCAAGCGGCCAGTCCAACCGGTACACCCCACCCGCACGACGTGCCCCCGCCCCCGAGGCGACGGTGCCCGGCGCACCGGTGGACCCTGCCATCATCTCGTCTTCCGTTGCACGGCCTGCCTCGCAGTCGACACAACGAGTTGCAAGTCCCGCCGCACCAGCATCAGCAGCAGCTGCGCCTGAACCTAGCAAAACGCAAGAGTCCAGCAAAGACGCACCCAAGCCTGCCACAAAACCAGTAGATGCGCACAAGGCTATTGCGGAACAGCTGCAGAAGCCAAGTAGTACGATCAAATCTGGGGTTGCTGCCATCCCTCCTAGGAAAGCTGGACGGCCACACGACGCAACTACCAACGTTGAGCACGACCTGCTTGACTCCTTCAAGCAGTTCTCGGCCGCTGAGAAACTACGGATTTCCGATCGCCAGAGGGCTTTCGCACGCGAGAACAAGGCTGTGAAGCTCAACGATCTTAAGAAGTTCGCGCTCAACTTCAAACTGAGCACGCCGGTACCGTCAGATCTTGTGCCCATACTCGCTAAGGACGAGACAAAGCAGCAGGCTATCGTCGACAAGGCCAACAAACAAGCGCAGGAAATGAAGACTACACCTCCTAAGGCGTCCAGCACCATGGCAGACCCCAAAGCTGCCGCACGATCTGCTGTCAAGCCAGAATCCACCCAAGCATCCCCTAGCACTAACGCAGAGCGCCAACAAAATCAGCGTGCTCGACCAGGGCAGCCAGCCTATGCGTCTGCTTCTTTGCGGGGTTCCCACCAGAACATGAACCAGATGCCTCCTCGCAACCAAGGACTACTTAGCACTCGTCTGCAGATAAACCACCAGCAACATAAGCAGCAAGGTGCCATGCCATACAACGGCGTTCCTCAACCGATACCAGCTCAGGACATGCGCGTACCACCTACTGGTCCTTCACAGCCCTCGAGTGGTGCTCAGACGCCTTCTTCCAGCGTGTCTACAAGGTTCAACGTTCGCGCCCATGAGTTCAAGCCCAACCCAGCTGCAAACACCTTCCAGCCCGGTGGAACCCCAAGCGCTACCTCCAGTCCTAGGCCAAACTCGTCTAGGCAAGAAGTCCGCAAGCCTCCTGTTACCAACTTCTTTACTGGCCCGAAGCCCACTGTTAAATCACTGGACGGACTGACGACCTTCAATGCCATCGGACGCCTTGAGAAAGAGGCGCAGTCGAACGAGAAGTCACATCACTCAGATATTGCACCTCCTTACAAGACCCCGCCTACGTGGGATTTCCCCTCTTCGAACACGAACAAGGGATATGAGCAGCTATTTGACCATGCTCCTCCGTCTGCGCCCTTGTCAGTACCACAGCATGTCATGCCCAACGGCCCTATGCCTCACCAGCATCAGTTACCACCTCATCTCCAGGGTGCCCAAGGCATGACACAAGGACCGACACCTCAACACACTCCCCGTGGGCCACCGATACAACCGCACCTCGGCCAAGATCAACATCATTTTGGTGCTCAACACATGCAATATTCGCACTCAACGTCATCAGTCCAACCTTCACCACGCCCAATGGCGCCGTACATGTATGGCGCACAACCTCAGCCAATGCAAGGCTATCCTCCGCAAGTCCCGCAATATGGCATGAGTCCCGGTATGCAGCATGCCACGATGCGCAACCCACAAGGCGGTCAATTCATGAACGGCCCTGGGCCGGCGATGGGGGGTCAAATGATGACGAACCAGCCTTCAAATGGACCCTTCATGGGAATGCCGGGTAATCCACAGATGCAGATGTACTCTCCCGCTCCCGCTCCTGCGTATCCTCAGTACCCGGCTCACATGCCTCCGGGCGCCAACGGATTCCCTAGCCCCAGGCCAGGTGCACCAATGATGAGCCATCAAGGATCGCAACAAGGCCACCACCAGCAGCAACCACCTATGATGTACATGCAGCCTGGTGCACCAGCTCCTCAGATGTACCAAATGCAGCCAGGAGCCAGTAAGTAGCACCTTTATGGTTATTCGTATTTTGACTAACATCACTCTAGTGGCTCCCATGCGAGGACCTTTCCAGCAACAATACCAAGGCGGTCACTACGGCTCACCACAACAGCATCACCAGTTCCCCCAGCAACACCGTGGTACACCCAGCGGAAGTTACTCGCAGCCTATGATGCCACAGCACTCATCGGGTCCCCAAGCTCCACCCACTGGCCCCGCTAGCCATGCACCGGACGGCAACGCTGAGCCCAAATGAGAATCTTTAAACCAGGTTCACCGCAAACAAGCGGCGTCCGCAGCGTCTGCTGCCTAACCTTCATTACATGCTCTCCTTGCCTGTTTTACCAAATTTTGCTATGCGCTTAGCGTGGGTGGGTTGATTAGTCACCATGATAAGTGGCTGGAGGCATAGCGACAGGCGTTGACTGGGCATGATGGGTGCATAAAAGATCATGGTACGGACGACAACGTTGCAGGTCAGGGCATGCAATACGGGACAAGAGAGGGAGGGAATCGGGACGATCGCTACGCTACACGCGATCGCAACGCGCCAGGAAGGAGCAAGTCATGAGAATCGCTTTGGCGTTTCCGTCCTCGAGGCAGCGTTCAGGGGTGGGGTGGAAAATTACTAGCAAGCAGAGCAGGCTCATGTGAGCACATGCTGCTGGAATACTATCAATACTACAAGTTCACAAACCTCGTTCATGTGCCTGCAATGACCCGCTACAAGAGAATGGCCGAGTCCATGTCGCGACCTTATATCGTAAACAGAGCATAGCATACAGAATACTGTATGCTTGATCCTTGAGCTTAAGATATAACTTTGAGGACAGGCTTCTATGTAGGCGACAACCAACACAAATTCTGGCATCTCCTGGTGCCGCTGGTAGCGCCTACTCTGCAGGTGACATGGATCACCAGGCACAGATCTGGCCCACCCACTAGCGTGTCTCGAGCATTCCGCACTCCCGCGGCCATTCCGACACTACCCCAGATAACCTCCGCCAGCGCCCCGTCCTGCCTTCTCTGCCGAACACGCTTCCTATGTATGTGTGTGCTGTATGCCGCGCTCAGATGAAGACGTAGAACTAGACAGCATGAACGACGCTGCTGCCGAGCCCTTGATCTCCAACGACCGCCGCGTTCCGAACGATGCACGCGACCGCTACGATGAAGCCGACGACGCGAGTATAAGAGACGACGACGTGGACGAGAGTGGCTTGGTATCCCCAGGCCTGTTCATTTGGTGTCTGACTATATGCGCCGGGGTGTCAGGATTGCTGTTTGGATATGAGTACGTCGCATCCATTCCTGCGATCTTTTGCGCCATGCCTCATGGCATCTACAGAAAATGGGAGTAACGCCATACTAACGCTACACAGCACCGGTGTTATATCCTCTACCCTCATATCCATAAACACCGATCTCTCCTCCCGACCCCTGACCACCCTCGACAAGAGCTTGATCACGTCTTGCACTTCGTTCTTCGCACTCCTCGCCTCGCCCCTAACGGGTATCCTCGCTGATGCATACGGACGCAAAACCGTGATCCTCGTCGCAGATATTCTCTTCATACTCGGCGCCCTGTTGCAGGCATGGACAAGCAGTGTCGGCGGCATGATCGTGGGTCGGTCCATTGTCGGCGCAGCAGTCGGAAGCGCGTCATTCGTTGTACCGCTGTATATTTCGGAGCTCAGCCCTAGCCCTTTCCGCGGACGGCTGGTGGTTGTGAGCAGTTTGTTCATTACCGGTGGGCAGGTCGTCGCTTATATTGTTGGGTGGTTGTTCTCGGAAAGATTGCATGGATGGAGATGGATGGTGGGCTTGGGGGCTTTACCCGCTGCCATACAGTTCGTTATGCTGTTTTTCCTGCCCGAAACACCGCGATATCTCATCAAGGCTGGAAAGACGCAACAAGCGAAGAGGGTATTGGGGCGTGTGTATAAAAGTGAGGAAAGCGGGACGAAGTTGGTGAATGCCGTTTTGAGGCGGGTAGAGAAAGAGATTGAAGAGGAGGAGGATGCGGCTGGACTGCGAGGGACTCCTGACATGGCTAAAATCGGTTGGAGAGCTAAGAAGGAGAGGATACAAGACAGCCTCTCTCAACTGATCGTCATCGGAGGGAACCGTAGAGCCTTGGTTATCGCGTGTATGCTTCAGGGCTTCCAGCAACTGTGCGGCTTTGTAAGTCTCCTCGTTCTTGTCCAAGCAACAGATGTCCCCCTTCGTACCACTCAGATGTATCAGAGTATGAAACTCCCGCTAACACCACCCCCAGAATTCACTAATGTACTTCTCCGCCACAATATTCCGCCTCGTCGGTTTCGAATCCCCGACCCTGACCTCGCTCTCCATCGCCATCACAAACTTCCTCTTCACACTCGTAGCCTTCCACTATATCGACCGCATCGGACGCCGCCGTATCCTCCTCTGGTCCGTACCCATCATGATCATCGGCCTCGCACTCTGCGCCATCGCATTCCTCTTCATCGATCTTCCCACCGAGGAAGCTTCCGCTACCGCTACTGCCATTGCCGGCGATAACAACAAGATCTGGCCCTTGCTCATCCTCTTCTCAATGATAACATACGTCGCTGGTTACGCGATAGGCATGGGCAATGTTCCTTGGCAACAATCTGAACTCTTTCCCCTGTCTGTAAGGTCGCTTGGGTCTGCGGTGTCAACAGCTACGAACTGGGGGTCGAATACTTTTATTGGGATTACGTTTTTGCCCATGATGAATATCTTCACCCCTGTTGGGACGTTTGCGTTGTACGCTGTGGTCTGTGTGGTTGCGGAGATTGTCATTTGGAGGATATATCCTGAGACGGCGGGGTTGGGGTTGGAAGACGTAGGCGGGTTATTGAAGGATGGGTTCGGGGTTAGGGATAGTGTTAGGAGGTTTGAAGAGAGGCGGCGGGATCGGTGATCGAGGGGGTACTTTGAAGGATCGTACACTAGAATTTAGTCACCGTACAGCGTTACGTGTCTGTTCATGGAGTGTGATGTCAAGGACATTGATAGTTCGAGTCATGACAGCTGGTGACGTGAAGACATACAGCGAGTTCCTAGGCATAAATGCCACCGCCCTCCCTATACCTTCTTGTTTTCTAGACTCGCACGCTCCCATTTACCCAGACAGCCATACTATACCACACCTACAACCACGTAACAATGAGGCCTACATTCTTCCTCCTCACAACCCTCAGCGCTCTGGTAGCCGCCGCCCCAGTCCACGCCTCCAACCCCCCTCCTCCCCTCCCCACAGCCTTCTACCCTGACCCTGTCTCTGGCTCCGGCTCCGGCCAAATGGTCGACAACATGCTTCCCGACAGCGACCTCCCTGGCGGCGGCATCGGCTCCTCTTCTCCTCAGATGTCCGACAAGCGCGCCCTTGCCAACGCGGTTCCTGATAAATATGACTCGTCTACGTACTACGACGCAGCTGCTGAGAAAGAAGCAGAGGAGCTGGCTCTTGTGCTAGACGCTGCGAGTGAGAATGCGGCGGAGGACGAGAGTGCGGATACCAGCCTTAACGTGAAGAGGGGACAGGGACAGGGAATGGAAGGCAAAAGCGTGGAGGGGTGTAAGAAGAGGGCTGAGCCGGCAGGGTGTGTGAAGTGTCAGAAGGAGTGGGATATGTACGTTTGATCTGGCTCACACTACAATCTCTGTATTCATCGCGTTGGTACGGGTTTGAGCTCGATGCTAACGGTGTCATTCAGGCATGTATCGTGTTTGTGCGAGAAGAAAGTTGGTTTTGATGCGTGCGTGCAGAGCAAGATTAAGAACTACGTAAGTTCGAGGTGTCGGAGCGTTCAGCAATGATCGAAGAAATAACGTACTGGTAGGACGCCTGCGCAAAGAAGGACTGCCCATAAGCTAGGTACGGCTTTGAGTAACTGAAGAACTTCGTGAGGAGATTCGGCGGACGTGAATTGAAGATGCCTCAGGATTGTTTTCTGTGTCAACGGGCGTTGAGAGTTCATAGTGGAAATTTCCATTTCAGATTTTTTGTTCTGTCTGCTATAGCACATTTTCCAGGCGTATCGTCGCTTTTGCGTCGATGCGAAACTTTGATGACCTTGGTGACCCGTCCCCGCATCCATATTAGAAGTTACCTCATTCGCCGTAAACGCCAAAGTGTCATTAACTCATTACCCTTCCATCCCCTCGTGCCGAAACGCCAACGCTGATGCAAATGCCGGAATCCTTGTGTCCCTCATCCTTCACACGCTAGGATGACGGGTATCACGTCATGCCAATCAGCCATGCGTAGAGTGTGAATCTCCTAGTTGCCAACGGCCGTATCGTTGAGCGCGACACAGACAGCACCACGGTGATGTCCGTTGTACTGCCGGATGATGCTCTGGCTACCAAGCTCCCACAGCCTTGCGTAGTGGTCTGAGCAGCTGGTAACGAGGTAGGCGCTATCGGCGGAGAAGGCACAATCCCAGACCCACCTCTGATGACCATGTAGCGTAGTCTCCAGAGGGAAGGCAGCTGGATCGCGCTCGCTAGCTGCCGGCAGGTTGTCGGTGGGCGTGACGTTGTGTGGAGCGGTAGGATCGACGGACCAGATGCGCGCCGTGTGGTCGGCGGAGCAGGTGGCTAGGTGTCGGACGTCGGGGGAGAGGAGGACGCGGGTGATGTAGGTTGTGTGGGCCACGAACTTGCAGATGGGGAGAATCGAGGTGGTATCGCTGCGCTGGATCATGCGCCAAACGTAGACGTTGCCCTAACATGCGGTGTTAGCAAACATTGGGACAACTTCATCCGGGGAGACTCACGGCGTTGTTGCCTGCGCAGACCATGCTTCCGTCGCTTGCAACCGTAACACTAGCCACGCTGACGTCGTCCTCTGGAATGAGCTGGTGAGAGCACTTATTCTCTCCCAAGTCCCAGATCCTCACATTACCACCGCGGTCGCAGCTGATGAGCTCTCCCTGGTTTGGATGGATGACGACATCGTTGACTGGAACACCATGAGTGTAGTTGCGCTGAACGTTGCCTGATCGCGTGTCCCAGATCTTGACCGTGCCATCTTCAGACGAGGTGACCAGCCACTTGGACTCGCAGTGGAACGCGACACCGGTGATGTTGGAGGTGTGACCGTCGAAGGTAAGGATCGCGTTCGGGTTTGTGGACTTGATATCGTAAAGCTTGACCGTGTGGTGACCGGCGGCGGCGAGGTATCGCTTGTCGGGCGAGATGCAAAGGCGGTTGACTTGGGAGTCGGGGTGCGGGATAGTCCGGGAGCATATACCGGAGAGCGCTTCCCAGAATCTAGTCGTCGGAGTCAGTACGAATGGCTGCCAATGGCGCATGGGACGCGTGCGAACCTAATGGTATGGTCGTAACCGGCTGCAATTGGATGTTAGTCGTTTGTCTGCCAAATGTGGGGTTGGCAGCTCGACGTACCTGTGCATAGAATGACCGACATCTTGATTACAGGGTCTCTCTCTAGTTACGAATTAAGGATGAACTTTTGTGTATACCGGAAACCCGTAGTAGTACAATCAATGCGACGGTGTTAGTATGCGCGACAACTGCAGAACATGACGCGCGCGAAGTTGCGATCACGATTGGAGAGCTTTGCGCGTTGAGGGGAGTTGGAGTTGGTCTTGTTCGGGAGTGCTTGGACCACTTCAGCCCTATGGCGGTCAGCCTATAGCGGCCTAGCGCTATGTAAGCTCCTCATGGTGAATGGTGAATTCAGATGTCGTGACTGTGCTTGTGTGAAGGTCACACTTGTTACGAGTGTCAGGCACGTGGTGTAGAAGCCGTACTCTAGTGCCTTCGCGGGAATCAGGGTTGAGCGCTTTATCGTACAACACAAAACACAAGCTGGATATACACAACACTACCTAGGTAGATGGTATTTCGAGTGCCTGTCTACATGAGACCCGGGTACGCAAAGACGCGTTGAATAGCTATATGATCCCAAGACCTCAGCAGCCTACAGCTTACTAGCTGTATGCATAAGCGGATAACTCTTCGGTCCACTCTCCAGCGCATCTTTCGTAATCTCTCCGACATTCTTGAACCCTCCAACATTCATCAAGATGTCCAGATCAGCTAGTAGACCGCGCATAACATGGTCAACTCCCGTCTCGCCCATGATCGAAAGGCCCCAGATCCACAGACGGCCAACGAATACGAACTTTGCGCCCAGAGCGAGCGCTTTGAAGACGTCGGATGCGGAACGGACGCCAGAGTCGAACATGATGTAGATTTTGTCGCCGACAGCTGGAGACTTTGTTAGCTATGCAGTAACAAGAGACAGGATACACTGAACGTACCATCAACAATATTCTCAAGAGCATCAAGACTTGCGACCGCGCCATCGACTTGTCTTCCAGCGTGGTTGCTGACTACGATGCCATCGAAGCCCAGATCAACAGCTTTCTTCGCATCGTCCACACTCTGAATGCCCTTCAAAGAAAACGGCTTGCCACCACTGAGCTCCTTCCATAGTTTCATCGCCCACACAGCCTTCTCCCACGTATGCGCGCGTCCATGCCATACGTTATCGATCCAGAGCGCGCCAGCTTCGTTGGGCTGTGTCTTGGGGTCAATGCCCTTTTCCTTGAGCCTCTTCTGGAAGACGGGATCAGTAAGGCCCAGATCTGCACCAAGCCCGTGGTAGAAGGCGTAATTTGAATTTGCGACATCGTCATGCCGCCATCCAAGCTGCCAAGTGTCAAGCGTCAGGATGCAGGCTGTGAAGCCGCTGCTCACGGCACGTTGGAGGAGCGATCGAGTGAGCTCATCATCGTGCGGCATGTAGAGCTGGAAGAATCTCACCCCCTTCTCGCCGCCACCGGCAGCGGTACCTGTGTCGCCTTGTCCTTTCCTCACGCCCTCATCGTTGGCATGGCCTACGTCCTCTATGCTCTGTGAGCCTGCTGTCGAGAGACAGTATGGTAGCCCCAAGGCGCCTGCGGCTCTTGCTACGGGTAGCTCGCCCTCTGGGTTGTAGATCTTGTTGATACCAACAGGCGCAAATGCAATCGGCGCAGGCACTTTGTGTCCAAAGATCTCGGTCACAGTGTCGCGCTGGTTGGTATCTACCAGCATACGCGGAATAATTCGATGTCGGTAGAACGCTTGTCTGTTTACGGTATGGGTGTGCGATTGGCCGGCATTTGAAGACGCGTAGAACCAGCCACCTTGGCTGAGTTTCTCCTTTGCTAATTCTTCGAGTTTGCCCGGTTCTATGTACAGTACATCAGCTTTGCGCGATAGTGACAGAACGTGAAGCATACTTACCTGTGTTGAACACTGGTACTTCGCCCTCATTGGATTTCCAAAAGTTCTTCCGCTGAAACAAGGCGTATTGCTGCGTGGTTCGGGCCTTTTGGTTGGGATTTACAGGGTCCATGATGCAAGTGGCCAGTCAGGTACAACGTCGGAGCAATTGAGGAAGGCGCTCGATAATGGATCTTGAAGGTAATTGAAGGTAATGATTGTTTCACTTTGTCTTTTGAATCGAGAATATCAAAAATAGACGTTGATATTGCTTTTAGCAATGTACCACCGGCACTCTCGGATCCACGCCATAATTGTGACGCTTGCACAGCTGTCGCAAATTATGACGAAAGGTGATGCTGCTCGGACTGGACCCTGACCTCAAGCTTATCTCCGGACTCGCGGACGGCAATGCGAACGGCAATTCCATGTAGCATGGCTGGAACACAGACCTCGCTATCGATTGACACACTCGGCTGTGAGTCACCTTCTAAGATCGGAGTCTATACGTGTCCGTTGACGATGACTGTCAAGATGACACCCGGATTAAATGCGCGTCGAAAATCGACCTAAGAGCGGGAGAGTGGGGCATCTGAAAGCTTGTTTGCCAGCAATAAGTAGACGCATAAAGACAAGGAACTGGGCGCTATCTGATGCAACACGCATTCTACTATGCCTTAGAACGCGGCTGATAGAAGTGATGTCATGAGGGCACTGCATACGCTTCCAGTTTAGACACGGATGAAGGTCGCGATAAACACCATCTTGGTAAAACCATTGTATCATGAACAAAGTGATAGCTAGGTAAAGTGGAAGGCGAAGGCCGAGCCCGCCAGGTATCATTTCGTAAATCTGCCCGCTTGCGATCTATGAGGCTCGTTTCCATGACCCGTCGTTTGATTCTACAGGAAACCAACGTACCCATCGTCGCTTGCAAAACATCCATAAGAGAGACATTGCATATCATCATGCATCGAAACTGAGCCCTTCGAGCCAAACATCATTAATCGTGGCCAAGTCAAGTGAGGACAAGCTATTTCTCGCTCGTCTTGGTTGTGCCTGCCTCAGGCTTCTTGTCGGTCTGGGACTCGGGAGCGTCGGACTTCTCCGTCTGTACAGATGAGGGCGACTCAGTCACTTGGACTTTGCTCTCGTGCTGAGGGCCTGGCGTGCCTTCGCGATCCTCGCGAGACTTGGCGTTGGCGTCCTGGTTGTACTTGTTGACTTGCGAATCCAGATCCTTGTCTTCGTCCTCGTTGTCGAACATCTCGCCGTCATTGTCTCCAGTCGAGACTTCGGTACCGTCGCCGAGAAGGATGATGCGACCGCCGTTGCCGTTGTTCGGCCGGAATCGACTGTCCAAGTCCATGTCGATGTCATCAGGGGAATCGTCAATGCGA